TTCAAACTTCTAGCTATAGGTGTTTATACACATTATCCAGTAGAGAGATACTACCTTGCATTCAAACTTCTAGCTATAGGTGTTTATACACATTATCCAGTAGACAGATTTTCTTGTAGTATTTTTTGATGGATCGTTGTTCTTATTTCAGACACTTGATTAAAGAAGGCTAGTATACGGATTTTAAATTAAAATTAAAAAAGTCAACTTTTTAAGCTTTTCATATTATTCGAAAGTGACCGTTCATGCAAAGAGATGCCCTATTTACATTGGTTCCCTTTAAACCTTTGACTCACAATCGAGTAGAGAGAGCTCTGTGTGTAAATCTCTTTAATAGCTGTTGAATTGGTCTAAAATATTTTTTCCCTGCGTACAGTGTGATCTCAACACAGAAGATCCGTCACCGAAAATATCGTCTTTTTACAATATCAGCTGTTTTCAAACATTCGATAGTACATTCTTAGTCCCTGCAACTTCTGAAAAGTAACAATTGATATTTCTTAAATATATAACAGCTTGAAAACAAATTGTTAACAATTAAAAGCGTTTTAGTCTGACATCCTTGATTAAGGTTTAAAAGGCACCGTTGTGAATCGGAGCACCCGGCTGTTTAAATGAAGAGTGACTTGAGTCTCATACAGATCCTAATATAACGGTCAAAAATGTGAAAGAGCAGTTTCCTTAATTTAATAATATTTGTAGACTAAAGAGTGGACGCATTTTTTTAAATAATCAAAATTGGAAGAACTTAAAAAACAGTTTTTAAAGTTTTATAGTTTGAAAGTTTGTATACCATATTAGCATTTATAATTTATTATCTTTTCTAGTATTATTGGTATTTTTCTCAACACCTGCTGCATTTGCTGGTAGCATTGAATCTCTTCTTCAACCTATGGTATACAATATACATAGTATAATGTTTTTTTTTTCATCTTGTTTTATAACCTGCAGATTGTAGATTGTATACTGTATAGGTGGATAAAGTTAGCAGGTTTCAAATCTATGCTATACCCTTTATTCTCTCCTGTATACCAACCCTTCTCTTCATTCTCTTCGGATACTTAATACAGGTTAAACCATGCAGACTACAGAGCTATCAATCAAAACCATAAACAGAGACAGTTGATATATAATAGTTTACAGGGTTACACTCATAGAATCAGACTTTAATGACAACCCAAAATCTTGCGATCTGAAGATCTGAAGATCTGAAGATCTGAAGGCTGAATTTTGTCATTTGCCTCAAATATAACCTTAAGTAATTAATAATTTATTTAATAATTAATTATATCGTAACAACTTTCAAGTTATAATCGTGTTTTTCTTAAGTCTAATCCTTTGTGGATAACCTGTAGCTAAACATTAATTAGAACTTATTATTTTAAGAGTTTAGATTTGTGAATATTAAAATGTATCGATTTTAGAAAATTTGTGCAATTATCGAATATTTACGAATGATGGACGTGTTAAACGTGTTGGAGATGAATTGCACGGGAAATGGTGGGAAGAAATTACCTCTTGCATCTAATCATTTGGAACAAATCAAGCATTCCATGAGTTTTAAAGTTCCGAGCTTCTAGCCCTATCCCTAGAGTAATATCTTCTATATTTAGGGTATAGTTAAACTATCTATAGTTAAATTTGGAGGGTGGGAGAGACAAAAGGTTATACCTGAGTATATGGTTGGATTATTCAGGTAAATAAAATTAAATATATAAAATACCTCAGCTTTTTTTCATTTTTAATAAGTGCACCCTACACAGTGTAAATTCTTTCTAATAACTGTTGTTTTTGGAAATGATAATTCTTACATTATGATATATTAATTGCATGGTATAAATGTAGTTTGTAGATTGTATAAGATGTAATAAACATCCATCCATATTCTAAATTGAATACTGAACCAACATGATATTATTTTAGTTGGGGATTTTTATCCATTGTTATTCTACCAGTTCTAGCTCTTTCATCAGCTCAGAATATAACGGAGGTAGAAATATATTATTTTTATTCTTTCCAACTTTTTTATTGTTTTCCAAGGAAGTGGTAATTCTATGAACTATGAAAAAATAAATGGTGTCTGGATAAATACTATTTCGTTGGACTGAGTTCATCACATTACATGATTCATAACTATTTACTATTTTGACTTATTACGCTCTCCTGTGCACGTCTTTTTAAATCTGTTAAACATTTTTGTTATTAATTACAAGATGTGCTGATTAATAAACCATATTTAATTTAATTTGATTTTCCTCCTGCATTGTAGAACATAATTTAAACCAGTTCTTTAGTTTCTACTAGATACTTTTCAACCAATGGAAGCATTGTTGGATACATCAAAGAACTCTACTGGAGCAAATCTATACAACAGGTTCTATTCAATCCAAATATTTAGAATTGCGCTCTAATACACTGTAGAATATTTAGAATTTCGCTCTAATACACTGTAGAATATTTAGAATTTCGCTCNTCTAATACAATGTAGAATATTTATAATTTATCTTAAGTACATTGTAGAATATTTAAAGGAGATGGGAATGTTTATTTCTACCAGACTCCGGAGCATTCTTTATGAACTATCTAATAATATCTGCTGGACTCCGCAACCATCTTAGTCTGCACAGGTTTCCGGAGTACCTAGAGGAACTTTGGGGATATTGTTTTCATAGGTTAGTTCATACAAGAACATTAAGATGTTTATCAACACTGGATAAGACTGCAGAGTTTGTACAAAATTTATTCAGTCTTTTATTTTGTTTCTTTCTTAGCAAAATCATTTATTAACCTTAACAGACCATACTAAAAACCAAATTTAACTACAGTGATAACTACAGGTAAAACAGTATACTGTCACTTATTTGTCAAGGTTCTTACAGCGGGTATTCATGATATTATTCATGATATTCCATATCCAGTATTCAGAGTTTAGGATTCAGAACATTTTCTTCTAATCATGAGTTGATGAATAATATTATGAGTTGAGGTATACTGCTGTAAAGAGGGTTGAGGTTGAGAAGACCAGGGAGTTCAACTGTATAAGGAACAGTGAAAACATGAGTTTAGCTGAAGATTATACCTGGATACTTCTTCACTTCTCAATACTATCCTTCTTCTGTGTCAGCTTTCCTCTCATATCCTCAGCTTTTATAGGTAATCTATACATATTTAGAAGAATATTTTTACCAGCAACTTATTAAATCACGTATTATGTGAAATTATAAGTAATTGATGCTGTGTGTTTAAAGTCATAATTTGAGTCTAAAGTCGTCTTAATTATTTCAGAGTTCTCTGGAACTTAATGTTTTAAGAGTTTTTGATTTGTTATTAATGATACATTTTTTTATTTATAATTGTTCAGTTTATATCCTGTCCAAACATGTTATTGATATAGAATGCTTCAGGTACATAATGCATTAACATAATGTCACTATACAGGTTTACCCACAAAGGATGAGACTTCAGAGAGATTGTACGAAATTTACACTGTCATTTTTTTATATTCATAACTCCCTGCAACTGTAAACAGGTTTCATTATTTGCCAAATCATTAAAAAAGCCCTTAAAAGACTAATTAAAGCAAAAGATTTAATTCAACCTAATAATCGTCAGTTATGAGAGTTTCAAGTCGTCTTTACAGTCTCATCCTTTTTGGGTAACCCTGTAGTCTTTAGATTTTCTAAACTGAATAAACAGAAGAAAACGACTTTGTAAAACAAATATTTAACAATTTTATATAAATATTTTATGGTTTATACTTACGTGTTTCTGATTCTTTTTAATGCAGGAAATATTTTAAAACGGTTGGAACTCAACCTGCTTTGCTAAGGTATGTAAAAATGGAATGCTATATACTTTGGAGAAAAAACCCAGCGGGAGCGGTTGAACCAGCGGTTGAGATCTAGAATAAGAAATTAAGAAGAAATTTACAATTTTTTCACTAAATCGCACTTTTTCAACAAATGAAATATAATTTTTCATGAATAACGTTTTCAGATTTTTTAGCAACTTTTTTCCTTTCAACCGCTGGTTTTCAGATTTTTCAGCAACCTTTTGCTTTCAATCACTGCTTTAAAGATTTTTCAGCAACTTTTTTGCTTTTAACTGTTTTCAGATTATTCAGCAACTTTTTTGATTTCAGCTGCTGTTTTTCAGATTTTTGTAGAACTTTTTTACTTTCAACCGCTGGCTTAAGATTTTTCAGCAACTTTTTGCTTACAACTGTTTTCAGATATTTCAGCAACTGTTTTGCTTTTAACCGCTGGTTTAAAGATTTTTTAGTAACTTTTTAACTTTCAACCGCTGATCTAAAGATTTTCAGCAACTTTTTTGCTTTTAACCACCGGTTTTTAGATTTTTCAGAACTTTTTTACTTTCAACCACTGGTTTAAAGATATTTCAGCAACTTTTTTGCTTTTAACCGCTGTGTTTAAGATTTGTTAGCAACTTTTTAATTTTCAACCGCTAATGTTAAGATTTTTCAGCAATTTTATTGCTTTCAACCGCTGGTTGAAAGATTTTTCAGCAACGTTTTTGCTTTCAACTGTTTTCAGATTTGTCAGCAACTTTTTGCTTTCAACCACTGGTTTTCAGATATTTCAGCAACTTTTTTGCTTTCAACCGCTAGTTGAAAGATTTTTCCGCAACTTTTTTGCTTTCAACTGTTTTCAGATTTTTCAGCAACTTCTTTGCTTGCAACTGCAACCCAGTTGTTGAAAGCTAAAAAGTTGCTGAAAAATCTTAAACCCAGCGGTTGAAAGCAAAAAAGTTGTTAAAAATCTTGAAACCAGTTGTTAAAAAAAAACATTTTTTATGAAAAACTGTTTTCCAGTGGTTAAAGCAACCCAGCGGTTGAAAGCTAAAAAGTTGCTGAAAAATCTTTAGCCCAGCGGTTGAAAGCAAAAAGTTGTGTTTAACTACTAAAAAAGTTTTAAAAAGTGAATAAAAATATGAATGAAAAAAGCACGAATTTATTGATTGAACAAATTTTAAATTTGAGAAAAAAGGCTTATTTCTTATTCTGAACTGCGTAGAGTCTAGGCTAGATCTCAACCGCTGGTTCAACCGCTCCCGCTGAGTTTTTTTCTCCAAAGTATATATCATTCGTAAAAATGGCAGATTAATAAACAAAACAAAACACTTCCCACTTAACTTAACCATTAAAGAAATTTTTGTTTGTCTCGACGCGACGTATAAAGATTTAGTGTTCATAAAATCCATAGATAAAGATAGATTGCGCATAAGACGACATTTTTCATCTTGAAAGATATAAATGTACAGAGATGTTTTAAAGATATTACTATTATATAGATTAACTAGGTAGGTTGTGAACATTGGCTGTTCTAATGTCATTGAGTACTTGTGGTGTACATGAGTTCTGTAAAAAGAAATTTAAGTTAGTTTAGTCCTTCTCATGTCCTTCTTCAGTTCTCGTCAATATGATATATTGCTCAGTGAAATAATTTGATATTCTCAAAATAAAATTCACTCCTGAGTGGTTTAATAATTATGAAATCCATTAAAACACCAAACCACCCCGCTTATCATTGAGTACACTTTGACCCCTAGAAGTATGCGTTCGCGGACTGTACAATTCTTGGTGATTTTGCGTACATAAACTATCTATGTATAGTAATTTATCTGTGATAAAAACCCTTTTCCCTGCCTATCGTAAAAAAGGAAGAAACACAAGTGTATTCAGGGACTGTTTGGAAGAAATTCACAAGTTCTAATTGACAGTTTCATATAAAAAAATATAAAATAAAAAGTCCTTCTCGAACACAGAACATGTAGTCTGTGTTCTCGAAGAAAATCCACAGTGGAAGACGACTTTGTAATCACGAATCTTATAAATGAAAAAAGTAAACACTAAATACCTCTTATGTTAGGGGAAACTCGCTCCTCTCCCAACATAAAGATTTTTTAACCTCTTATTTATTCTTGATTATTTCTTATTAGAACTGCTATAGAGATAAATATATTCTGTGGTTTATTGGTTCAGCTGAATACTGTAGCTTTCCTATTCTTTAGAACATCTCCAGGGGGCGAGGTAACTAATTTCAGATTCACCCCCTCCCCCCCATACTCAACTTCAGTTCGGAACTTTGTGTAGTAATCGTTAGTCTTAAACGCTTGGTATCGATATCCAATGTGGACAATTTTAAATTTGCGGATAAATGTTTGATCCCAACATTGTAATAACCCCTGCAGGATATGACCACCACTTAATATCGACGAGAAATTAAATTAATCCGTTCTCAAGTTTGAGATCAATGTTTTAACATTTTCATAATATTAAATTAATATTTAATAGTAAAGTTCTTTAACATTACATGTTTAAGTTGAACAAATTGGACAAGTATAACGAAATCTTAAAGTTGGATCTTCCAGATTCGAGGTTTTTTGTGCTCTCAAGCCTCTTTTAATATTATTTTTAGGGTTTGGTTCGGAGAATGGTTGCTGGAAACCTGATTATATTCAGTATTCTCATCTTCCTCATCATGGAGTCTAGTAGATGGAGGTTTCCTTGTAATATATTCGGCAAACCTAAACCAACAAGATCTAAGCCTATATCCAACCAAATCCATGAGTACAGGGACAGACTTTTCTTTGAACATCTTGTAACTTCTATATAGAGATATTGGTTAACATCTATTCAAGCCATGTTTAATATAAATATTCTTCATATTTTCTAATATATATGTGTCAGTTATCTTAGAATTGAGCAGGGTTTATTTAACCAAATAGGAAGTAAAATTGCCTTGAAAATTGGTATTTAAGAAAAAATTCTAAAAATTTAATTCATTTTAACATAGGGGGGAGGGGGTAATATCTTAAGCCGACCATGTATTTTTGTGAAAGGCCGTGCAATCTTGTTTTATATATATAAATATATATATATATATATAATCCATCTTCTTTTAATGCACTCATTGTCACTGTACAGTGAGGTTTAATGCTCTCGTTGTGTTTTGTACACTGTACAGTGAGATTTAATGCTCTCGTTGTGTTTTGTAAACTGTACAGGGAGATTTAATGCTCTCGTTGTGTTTTGTACACTGTACAGTGAGATTTAATGCTCTCGTTGTGTTTTGTACACTGTACAGTGTGATTTAGTGCTCTAATTGTGTTTTATACACTGTACAGTGTGATTTATTGCTCTAATTGTGTTTTGTACACTGTACAGTGTGATTTAATGCTCTAATTGTGTTTTGTACACTGAACAGTGAGATTTAATGCTCTCGTTGTGTTTTGTACACTGTACAGTGTGATTTAATGGTGATTTAATGCTCTAATTGTGTTTTGTACACTGAACAGTGAGATTTAATGCTCTCGTTGTGTTTTGTACACTGTACAGTGTGATTTAATGCTCTCGTTGTGGTTGTACACTGTACAGTGAGATTTAATACTCTTATTGTGGTTTTTACACTGTAACACTGTACAGTGAGGGTTTGTACACTGTAACACTGTACAGTGAGATTTAATGCTCTCATTGTGTTTTGTGCACTGTACAGGAGATTTAATTCTAAATGAAAGTTGTCTTGTTTTAATCTAATAAGAAATGATTTTTTTAAATTAAAATTTTTAACTTATTTGAATTTGTTATCTTTTGATACGTTTAAGGCTCTTTTTTAAGACTATAGTAGTCACAAGGTTCAAAATCCTTTTCCACTTTTTCAATTAGAGATTATTTCACTTTTTACTGGTCAGTGACTAGTTATACATATATTGAAGATACTAGATAACATCTTGTTCAGATCGAGAACTAAATAAAGATAAGTGGCGTAGCTGCGTATTGTACAGTAAATGTAGTGTTAACCTCTATAATAATTATCAAATAAGAAATACGGTTTTCCTTTGGTCCGGAGTCCGGATATTAAACAAATATATTTACAAATATAATTTACCTTAAAATATTCTTACAGTACTAAAGATATAAAAACTTCTAAATTTATAAATATTACAGAGATTAGTTTATATATTAGAAGATGCATATTTCAAAAATTAGAAACACAACTTTAAAGCCTGAATCGAATCTCTCAGAAATTTCCCTGGAGGTGGAATAAAATATTTTGGTATCGTGGGCATTTTTATGTATTTGTATCTGTTATATGTTGAATTAAACAAAATTGTATTAATTTTTATAAGTTTATATTTCATATTAACAGGATTGTTAACGTAAAAAGGGGGTTTATAATGAACACAAATGGTTTTGAAAATGCAAGAGCAGTACATGTTAAAGGGACTCCAATCCGCACTGGTAACAACATATATAATGTATGTATGTATTTACCTTTTATTTGTTATAATGAATTACCAGGTTTTTACGCGAACATTCCCTTTATCTTTTCTAATGTTATCGAATGATTTTAGTTTAAAATCTATATCTTTTAAATCAATATGTTAATTATTTTGTAGCTGTGGGGGAATATACGTGTGAGATGAGATGGAGGGGGGGGGGGGGAGTGCAATTGTACTTCTGACGTCTGACCAGTGAGCGTTTTAATCAATCCCCCCTCCTCCCCTCCCTCCCTTACAGAACAGATGCAGGGTACAATGAGAGGCGTATAGTGTTTCAGGATATCTATAGATATGTAAACCCAGTCAGTTAGATATATAGATTATGATGGATAGTTGGTTAGTTATTTAGTTAGTTATACATGTATCTTATTATGGATAGTTAATTAGATAGATAGTTAGTTAGTTAGTTAGTCAGTTAGTTAGTTAGTTAGTCAGATATATAGCTTATAATGGCTAGTAGATAAGTTAGTTTTTTAGACTTGTTAACCTAGTTATATAGTCGGATAGTTGGATATGTATAGCTTGTTAGTTAGATAGATACATTATACATAACATGATGGATTGTAATTTTTTAGTTCAGTTAGATATTTAGATATATGTAAACCTAGTTAGCAAGTTAGACAGTAGACTTAAAGCTAAATAGCTGCATTCGCTGCATATGACATGGATAGTTCTTCATTTAATTAAATGTAAACCTAGCTATTTAGCAGATAGTTATATATAGCTATAACAATTTGTAAATCTAGAAAACGGGTTCGAAAGTAAAGACTCTCTGACAATGAAACCAAGTAGGGGGTGAAAACAGGTTCGAAAGTAAAAAGGTTAAAGGCTCTATAGAATTGAATACCAAGTAGGTAGAGAAAATGGGCTCTAAAGTAAAGTCCACCTAAAATTAAACCATAACATATGAGAAATGGGAATTTCTTATGTTTCTCTCTTACAATAATGTTAATAATAATACAAAATACACACATGGATATTTTAAGGATCGAATTCTTTATTCTACCGTCTTATACACACTTCTCTCTACTCACACTTCACATCTAAACATACAATAGAGAGAAGAGAACATAAACTTATACTCATCCATCCTTGACTCAGCAGAACTCTACACCGTACACTATACTTCTTCTCAGAAATCGTTTTAATTTAATTCATTAATATATCGACTAATGATTCAGATTTTTTATTCATTTACCGCCTTTTGACCCAATTTACCGACCTATGATTCTCCCAACATTGACATTATGTTGCAAAGATATAGAGATTATAAAATCAGAGTTTGAGTGAAAGTCTCTATTCCTTTTTAGACTTTTTTGATTTATATTTTAAAAAAATGATTAAACATGGATCCATGTTTTTAGGAGGGACTCACATCAAAACAGAATTGATCCTAAGAACTAGATTATGATCCTGAAGACCAGTAACATTTAAAATAAACTTCAAAGTTGAAAAAAAAACCTCCCTCCCTCCAAAATAAACCTGGCGATAACGGGTTAATCTGGTGCAATCGCCAAAACAAAACAATGGCTGATATGCGGTACCATTAAATTTAAGCCACGGCTCAAATATGGTTGGTTCCACTTAAAATCGTATTCATTGTTTCAAGATTTAAGCCGGCGCTCAATTGAAAACGGTTTTTGGCGGATTTAAGACGCGGCTCAAATTCATTAAATTCGGGCACAGGTTAAAGATGGGGGTTCTAGAATGGGGTTAATACGAAATTGATTGGAGATTGTATTCAGGTTGAAGAATTTATTTCAGATGTATAACTTCTCTTCTTTTCAATAATCCATCCAAATATTCAAAATTTTCTCGACACATAAAATTGGTTCAAATAAAGGATAAAGAATTTTACAACCTTTGATCTAAAAACACATTAAATTTTATTAAATTGTAACCTAATTGCAATTTTTAATCTCCGCTACAAAATAAATATTTAGATCTTTCGTTATATATAAGTTTAATTTTGACATTAAAAGAGTTTTTGATTACCATGTGTTATTAGTGAGTACAATTGTATTGTTATTAGTGAATACTGTAAATAATACATAAGTCTAATTATACTTGTATGGCAAAGTAATGTATCTACTATATACTCATATCAAATACAGCTTTCACCATATACAGGCCCTTCATAATAGGGGGAGGGGGTTGCACTGCCAAGATATGACCCAAAAATTTGGTTCTTAAAATCGAACAGCAGAAATGAATTGTTTGAAATGAACAGATTGTTAGGGATATCTCACAAATTGCAAATTCTATTTGTTATTTTGCTGTGTGGCCTTGAAGACTGAATGAATAATATAAGAAAATTAAGAGTATTAAAGTGGTGTAACATATTCTCTGGTGCTTCTAAAATATGACAAGAAGAGAGAAAAACAAAACTAGATAAAAACAAATTTTCCAGTGCTTTTATATAATATCAGAAAATAACCTGAAGTAAGCACTGTTGTGAATCTCGGAATCAAGTATCTCATGATCTTTCATGGCAGACGGATGCCTGTGGGCGCTATACCCTGCAGGGATAACTCTAATGGAGGGATCAAATTAGAAATTGCCTACATTGGATACACACTAGACTAAGCTATTGGTGTAGATAAAATAGGCATATGATAGGCCGAGTACTTTAAAAAGTCTGTCCGCGCCATTAAAGTTGAAACTAGGCCGCAATAGGATAGGGGTGGGGCAGTACTTGTCGTCACTAAGAAAAGTACTGCTACAAGGGTTCGGTCCGGTTCGAAGTTAAATTGACCCTAGTCCACAGTGGATAATGAGATCAAGTCTTTAAGATTTAAGATACTCCACAAAAGTTCCGATCTCTGAATGCATCATAAACGTAGAAAATAAAAAGATAAGATAACAAGTTTTTGTATGAAACCATGCACTTAGTCAACATCTTTTTTAAAAGGGAGATCTAACTATATTTAGAAATTTAATGCGTTTAAAAATCAGAATGCAAAACAAAAATATCCAATGAACAATGTTCTATTTACACTAATTTGCAAAATGTGTGATAATAATTTTCTTTAACATTTTTATTTATAAACATATATGAACGCTTGAAGAAAAAAAACCTTTTACAATAGATAATTTTTGTTTTGTAAACCTTTTTTTATAAAGGAATTGAGTCTTTGCCACAAACTCTTATTTTCTAATAACTATATTTTTAAAGCCCAATGTCATAGACCTTAGATATTTCAAACTATGAATTATGTTAGATCAAGTAATCTAAGTTTGAAATATTAAATGTTTACGCTATAATATTGCAAAGATATAAAAATTAGAAAATTTGAGTTGGTGGCAAAGACTCCATGCATGTCCTTTGGAATTGTTATTTTAGTATATTTTAATTATTACTGATTTCTAAATCCCTCCGCGGTGTACAGCAATTTCAAAATACAGATTTTC